AAAAAAAAAAAGCTTCTACTCACCCCAGGAGCATAGATTTCATAGACACTAGGGGCTGGAAGGGACCCCGGAGGATCATCGAGTCCAGCCCCCTGTCCCAGGGGCAGGAAGTCAGAAGGGATCATAGGATCCCAGCAAGATAAACATCCAAATGTCTCTTGAAGGCGTTCAAAGTGGGTGCTTGAACCACCTTCAGTGGCAGCCTATTCCAAACCTTGGGGGCTCGGACAGTAAAGAATTTTTTTCTTATGTCCAGCCTGAAATGGTCATGAAGGAGTTCATGACCGTTTGACCTTGTCATCCCTTGGGGCGCTCTGGTGAACAAATGTTCCCCCAGATCCCGGTGAGCACCCCTGATAATTTTGTAGGTGGCCACCAGATCACCTCTGAGCCTGCACTTTTCCAGGCTGAAGAGTCCCATAGCTCTCTCTCAGGAGCTGCGGGGGCTCTGGTGCCTCCTGCCCACTGGGCCTGCCAGGGCCTCCTGCCCAGCCCGGGGCAGCAGGCCCCGGGCTGGGCCCATCACCCCACCCCGCTGTGCAGGTGGGGCCCCAGTGACCCAGACAGGCAGCTAGAACTGTGGTGAGTGCCAGGGTTTTTGTTTGGGGGGGTTAATTGTGGGATGCTGGGGTGGGGGGGCAGCAATAAGGGGGTCTTGGGGGGATGGGTTAGAGCAGGGATTGGGGGGTTTGAGGGGCAAGAGTGGGCAGGGGTCAGGGGGCACTCAGGGGGCCTGGGGGAGCAGGCAAGGGATGGAGCCTGGTGGGGGTCCCCCCATGGTCCCGTCCCCCCTCCTCCAGCCCCCCGACTCCTTACTTACCTGAACTGGAGTCCAGGTCCAGCTTCCTGTGGCTGGCACACTTCCTGCCTTGCATGGGCAGGTAGCATGCTTCAACGCCAGGGCAAGGGCCACCCACAGAGACGCTCTGGCAGCCAGACCATCTCTGTGGACGACCTAGCCTCCAGCTGCCTGCCCTGCTTTTTTTCACTTCATTTTTTTTTTTTGACCCCTGGATATCCAGGGTTCTAATTTTGCCCTGCACTGCAAACTTACAGCAGGGGGATCTTTTTCCCGTTCCCACATGTGCCTCTTGCAGCATCTCAAAGGGGTTTGAGATGCTGCAAGAGGCATGGGCAGGCTTGTCTGGATGCATCCTCAGAGTTCTGACCCATTTTACATGGTGCCCTTATTGAAGGAATCCATTTTTTCTTCCCTTTACAATGTAATTTTGGCCATATAGGGCTGACAGAAGTGACATTTGTCATGTGATTGGCCCCTTGAAAGTGCTCTGCAGCCATGTCCTAACAGAAGTGCACAGCTGCAGAATACTTTAAAAGTGCCTGATCACATGACAAATTAACCCTCATTTAATGAGGGTGCAGATGAAGGCACTCCAAAGTGGAGCACCTTCATTAACTTCTGTTTGTCCCCGCACATGGGCTGATGCAGCCCTACCCCACTCCCAGTGTTCTCAGTAGAATGGAAGGGAGAGAAAGCAGGGGATGGAGCTCGGGTCTGGGGTTTGCCCAGCCTGCACTGTGAGGTGGGTAGATTAGAGTTTGGGCTCCAATCTACCCATCCCCCACCTCCAGGATAGTCTGGGCAAACCCAGACAGGAGCTCCCTCCCCTGCCTTCTCCCTCTCCCATCCTGCAGACAACACTGGAGCTGGAAGTGGGAGGGAAAGGGGGAAGGTAGGGTTAGGGGATAGAGGCTGCAGACAGGCAGGCAGGCTGCAGAGGCTGCAGACAGTTCAGCTCTAAAGTAGAATATGATTCCCCTCCCCCACAACCAAACAGTGAACATCTGTTGGGTTGCAGGGAGTTGGGTGGTTACTATTATTCAAGGTGCTTTCTGTGAAGCACCATGAGTTACAGCAGGGAGCTGCATATCTGTCACTGCCCATAATGTGCATATTACAAAGAGCTGTCCTTTTGTTCCAGAAGAATTTATGCCTTTCAGCATCTTGCTGCATCCCAGAAGAGGCATGACCAGTAGCATAACTAGGGGTGGTGAAAAGGCACTAGTCCTGGGCACCAACAATGGGAGGGTGGCGGGGCAACCCTGCACTGCGTAGCCATAGGAGCCCCATGGCCCACAGTGTACGGGGGAGGGAAGAAAGCAAGTGGGGCAAGTGGAATGGTGCTCTTCCCCAGCCCCTGGGGAGTTTTGGTCACAGCAGGTGCAGTCCTGTGCCCAACAGCATATCTGGAGTGAGGGCGGGGAGCAAATGGGGCACCAGGCACAGCTCCTGTGGTGCCATGGAGCTGCTGCCTCTGGAGCCAGTGCTGCTACAGTATCAGCACTGGCAGCAGTGTCAGTTGGTTCAGAGAACCCAAGCAGGTAGGACTTTCCTTTGCCTCATCCCTTTTCCCAGTTCTGTGGTCAGCATACCACTACCACCTCCTGCCCTGGGACCTGAATAATTTTACTGGGCCTCTGGGCACAGCCCTCTGGATTAGGCACCTAAATAAAAATAGCCTTCTTCTTTGGCAACCAATTTTGAAGACTTTGGTGATGATATAAATAAATACTAATTAAAGGGGAAACTCTGTTACAAAGAATGCTATGAATCAGAGAGAGAGAGAGAGTTTCTTATAAACAAGCTATTTATAAATCCTCAACCCCCCACTCATGACCAAGCTTTCTTTGGAAAGTAGCTATAGTGTATTTATTGTTATCATTTAGTTAGTTTCTTCATTGTTTTATTATTTTATCTGTGTTTATGACTTTGTTATTGTATAGTACCCTGAGCATTTTGGGGAGGGCAACAAAATAAATAAATAAATACAGGCCTGATTCTCTCTTCCATTGGTGCAACTCCAAGGACTTGCTGGTATATATGAAGGCAGGCTCAAATGTCTTGAATTTCTATAACCATCAGCCTACTGTTCTGTTGCTGTCACCAGGCCTTCCCTGTGCACCAACTCTTTACAAGCTATCATCCTGCCACCACCTTTTTCCTATGAGCAACCCTTGCCCTGCTAACATGGAGTGAGTATCCAGGTTAGTCACCTTTGCCTTGCTTCTGCTTCTCATTAAGACATCTGTTTTCCTTGTCTCGAGGAATGTCTGCATTGGTTAGCCCAACAACAGCATCATCCCAAAAGCAGCCTAAAAAAAACCATGTGAATTAGAGTACAGAGAGAAAATCAAAGGTAAGCATGAGCTCCTATTTACCCTAAGGCCTGGGAAACGTTTTTGCTAAGGACGGTGTTACCTCTCAGCTCTGTGTTCTTGGGGAACCCTGGCACAGTACACAGCCTGTCTGACTCAGAAGAGCCTCACCCCCTCCCCACCTCTGCCTGAACAAGAACTGATTAGAGGAAGGACTTACAAAAGACAATGAAGATGCAGTGGGAGACGCATCTAAAGTCCTCCAGAAAAGGGTGATAAGGGTGAAGTAACTCCCCATGTCTCATTTACATCTGAGATGGAACCAGATGACAACTCATTTAAATGGGAG